TCTTTCTTTCTTTCTTTCTTTCTTTCTTTCTTTCTTTCTTTCTTTCTTTCTTTCTTTCTTTCTTTCTTTCAGGATCCCCCGTAAGTGCCCAGCCGGTGATCATGGCTGTTCCTCCCAGGCCTTCTGCGCTGGTGGCCAAACCAGTAGCCTACCTGCCCGCCTCCATCGTCACCTCTCAGCAGCCTTCAGGCCACGCAGTCCACGTGGTCCAGCAAGCCCCCACTGTAACAATGGTCAGAGTTGTGACGACTTCTTCAAGCTCAGCCAATGGGTACATCCTGACCAACCAGGGGCCGGCTGGTAGCGCCCACGAAGCGGCAGGAGCCGTCCTAGACTTGGCTGGTGAGCCTCGAGGTAGTAGATTGTCCCCAGAATGGCAAAGATCCTCATTTAACTCATGGCTGGGCCTATTTCTCCAGGTCTGTTTAAGGCTGTTCAATTCACTGGATGCTCAGAAATAAGATTGCTTTGTTTCCTTGCCCAAGAACTCCAGCCATCATGCCTGGCACCTACTAAATTGATTCCAACTAAGTTTGCCGATTGTGTTAAAGTGTGTTTTACCTTGGACACAGATTTCTCATTGCTCTAAAGCAGTGTTTCTCGACCTTGTCAACTTTAAGATGGGTGGACTTCAACTCCCAGAATTCTGAGAGTTAAAGTCTACCCATCTGAAAGTTGACAAGGTTCAGAAACCCTGGTCTAAAGCCATAGTGTGGTTGGCAGTGCTTGATTAAATAAACTTCGTTTGGCTGAGTTTGCACCACTAACCGTACTTTACAATCCAGAAGGGGCTGGATTCACCCAGTACGGTAAGCTGCAGCAGAGCCAATCCCATTTTGGTTTTGCGGGATGTGGGAATTCTATTTGGGTGAAGCAGGAAGCAAAAGTCTTGCTGGTTGCTCTACAAGTGATGTCCAGTTCTAATTTCCAGCTAGTCCATGTGACACTCTCCCCACATCTCCCGCTCTTTCTCTCTCCGCACATTATAAGAAAACTGTAGAAAAAATGGAGTGAAGGAAGTTTCTCCCACGTCTCGGTGCAAAAATGTGTATGTCCATGTAAGGACAGTAGCAAACATCCACCGTAGGTTTTGGATGGGAAAGCAGACGGCATCGCAAGGTTGATCAGCTGGGGTGGATAATGTCTCTTCTCTTATTGTAGGGTTGGATGAGAAACCCACCATCGCGTTTGCTGCAATACCAACTGCCAGTCGGGTCATCCAGACAGTGGCCAGCCAGATGGGTCAGGGCGTCCCAGGACAGACGGTCACCATCCTCCAGCCGGCCACACCCATGGCCCTCGGACAGCACCAGTTACCTGTCCGCACAGTGACCCAGAACGGAAAGCATGCAATTCCCACAAACAGCTTATCCAGTGGGACTTACGGTATATATAGTCTCTCCTTCCCCCCTCCCGTAGTTTGCCCGCCTTTACAATCTGTCTGCGCAGGGAGCCTGGTATGCATTGTAAAATATGCAGGGCAGCTCAGCAACCAAGGAAATTGCATTACAAGTATGGGTGAATGGGGGTCATCGCCGTACAACATTTATTTATTATTTATTTGTCAAATTTATACGCCCCCCCCATCCCACACGAAGCGACTCTGGGCAGCGGACCGTAAAACCCAGAATTAAAACCTCCTACAAAGCCAACTAAAACAATAAACACAGATAAAGCAAGATACAAGAGGGAAGATATGACAGATAATGCAGCCAAGACTGAGTCCTGTTGTTAATATCCTGGTATTTACAAGTCCAGGGTTGAAAGAGTTGCTTTCATTTTAACATTTGCTATCCTGAATGCAACTTGGAGAAAAGTTTCTTCTCTTGTGCTCCTGGACCCTCTGGGCTTGCCGGCTGAGCAAGCCAGTAGCTTCATTTTTTAGGCGATCACATTTGGTCATTAGGGTTTGAGGTGGAAGAACCACATTACTTTTGCCTGACAGTTTATTTGTTTGGCAGGAATCCCATATACCTCTTCACGTGGCACTGATTTAGCCCAGTCTTTCCCAACCTGGCATCTTCCAGGTGCTAGAAAACCAATTCCTAGAATTCACAAGGCATAGGAATTCTGGGACCTGTAGTCCCAATATATCATAAGGAATCTGTAATGGACAAAAGGAATAACCTTGAGGAACAGGAGGAAGAGCCACAACCAAGACAATGGTCAGATAAAAGAAATTCATTATCTGAGGCAGAAATGTAATTTGAGAAAGTATCTCAGACTTGACCCTCTCTAGTTTTCATGATAATAGAGGGAGGGGAAAGCATATTCAGACTTGCAAGATTCTGTTACTGTAATCTCATTATAAAAGTAGTATTAGCATTCATAACTTTGGTTTTCTAGTCTGACCTACCTCGAAGGGCCCACATCAGCCTTGCAAGTCTGAATATGCCTCTCCCTCCCTTCTTTATGTTCTTGAGAACAAGGGAGGGTCAGGTCTAAGACGCTTTCTCAAATTACATTTTTGCCTCAGACTCAAGTTTCTTTTATCTGACCGTTGTCTTGGTTGCGGTTCTTCCTCCTTCAACCTCTTCAAGGTTACTCCTCCTTCCCACTACAGAATCTCATTCAACTCCAGCTGAATTTCATAGCTTGAAACTTCAAGCTCCAAATCCTGTTTGTTCATCAGGTTGGAAGAAGGCTATTTCAAAAGGGGGTTTGTCGAAGTAGATTCTGTTACCCCTTAAAAGGACTTACCCGTCTCTCTTGGTTTTCCTGCTCCAGCCCTCACCAACCCATTGCAAGTTCTTGCAGCTCAAGCAAGTTCGTCCACTCCGGTGGTCATCAGCCAGACGAGGGAAGCTGGGGTGAAAGATACCGAAGAGCTTTTGGGTGAGCCCGATGTCAAACGGCCCCGAATCGAAGAACCTAGAGCAGTTGCTCCGTTGCAAACTGGTGTCATCACATCTGCAGCCCCGTCAGGACAGTCTGCTGGGGAATGAGGAAGCGGGATGCTTGGAAAGGCACCCTAATTTCTGGGGGAAACTTTTTTTTTTCCCTAGCAGAAATCTTTCCCCCCTGCAACTTTTAACACCTTGATCATTTCAGTTGTTTTTTGTTCTTTTTTCTTTTTTAATCTCCTTTTGAACACTTTCAAGGACAGGCCAGCGTTTGTCAAGAATGTCGAGGTGCCAAATGAATTGGGCAAAATCTCCATCTGTCCGGACCCAAGGATTCTCTTCTGCTTTTTACTTCGGAGACGTCCTCCCTACCTTTCTTCTTTCTTTTTAGATTTCAGAAGAAACACAGACAATTTTGATTGTTATGACTGCTGGATTATCTCTCTCCCCGCCCTTAATTTTCATCCCTCCCTTCTTTTCCTTTACGCATGGTAGTTTATACGTGAGCATACTAAAAATGCAGGACAGAGACTCGAACTCTTCAGGTGGGAGCTTCTGACCTCGAAAACAGGTTTATTTTTTCACTTTCAAAGGAAAAGACGGGCATCCTTTTGTATCTTGGAGCTCCAACCCGTGAACAATATTTGCAAAAAGTTCCTCTAGGACAAGGCAATACGATACCCTGCCACCTAAAACGGCAGACACTTGTTCATCTTTCCTTCCCGTTGCCTCTATGCAGTCTGACTCACGTTCTGACAATTCGGATTCACACCCCCACCCAAAGCGGTGGTACCAGAGCACAGTGTAGTTAGTTTATCCCAATCTGATGGCTTCAAAATGCATTAGAAGTCCAATCCCCAGAATTCTCAGCCTACTGGACAGACAGGGGGATTCTGGGAATTGCAGTCCCAGCCTACCTCGTTGGGATGGCTGAGCGAGACAGCACTTGGCCCACAGTTGCCATTTGAAGAGCGAGAGAGTGAAAGGAGTTTATTTCCATCCTTTGGAACGATTGTCTGTTAAATTAAAACAGCCCGTTGTGAACAAGAAGGTCCGAAACTTGGGGACTTTTTAAGAATTGTTGTACCTGCAGGCTTGTAAAGTGACCAGCTGGGTTCCTTGGCGTCATTCCTGTGGATTGGTTTTGAGAGAGAAGGCATAAGAGTTTTAACGTTTTTAACCTTCAAGGGCAGCGGCACTGTTCCAAGGAGCATAAGATCCCCTCTGTGCTGTTACGGTTCAAGTGTTGGACTTGCGTCTAGGGAGACCAGGTTCGAATGCCATGAAACTCCCTAGGTAACCTTGGACCAGTCACTGTCTGTTTTAGCCTAACCTACCTCACAGGGTTGTTGTGAGGACAAAGGGGGTGAGGAGAGCTATGTATGCCACCTTGAGCTTGGAGGAAGGGCAGAATAAAAACGCAATAAATAAGTAACCCTCAACATCATCATCATCATCGCAGTTTTAAGTGTCAGGTCACTTTAATCACTTCAGAATGTAGTTTTTCTGCACGGTGGGCAAGAGAGAAGGAAATCTCGACCCATTTTCCTCTTTTGCAAGGTTTTGCAAGCCAGTAACCCTAGTGAATATCTCTAATGGCAAGTTTGGAACCTGAGATAAGGACGGATCCAAAATTGAAGGTAAAGTGGAACGGAATCCCATTATGATAAATTCTGTGGGTGAGGCAGAGCATGAGTTCAGAGGGCCATAGTACAGGTAGTCCTCGACTTACAACCATTCATTTAACAACCGTTTGAACTTACAACAGCACTGAAAAAAGTGACGACCGGTCTTCGCACTTAGGACCATCACTGTGTCCTTGCAGTCACATGATCAAAATTCAGGCATTTGGCAACCAGCATGTATTTACAATAGTTGCAGTGTCCCGGGGTCACGTGGTCGCCATTTGTGACCTTCCCAGGGGGCTTCTGACAAGCAAAGTCAGTGGGGGAAGCCGGGTTCACTTAACCGCAGCAAAAACGTCATAAAATTAGGTGCAACTCACTTAACCACATCGCCTAGTGATGGTCCCAATTGTGGTCATAAGTCGAGGACTACCTGTAAGGCAAAATCAAAACAAACAAATGTTCAAAAAACTCAGCCTCCTTCTTTCTTTAGCAGCACTTTGGTGCTAAAGGTTCACCGCAGACGAGTGCCATGGAAAAAAAGGAATTGCAAAAAGAGATTTAATTACTCTCGGTTAAACTGAATGTCTTCTCAGCACTTTTTTTAAGCACTTAAACCCTCCCATATGTTTGTCGTTTTTTTCCCTTTGCAAATAATCATAACCCTAAAGCTCTTTGCCCCCAGAGAGTCCCCGCGCTGTAATAACTTCAGTTCTCCAGAAGGTCAGTGGCTTCTGTGCCTCCCGCTGATCTCTGCGAGGGTGGTGGCTGTGTGTCAGGCCAGGCAGGACCGTACCCGGGTTCACGTTCGCTGACTCAGAAGCCCTTGCAAGCAAACAAATTGCCTTGATTTTTCTAGGTCAGGCTGTAAGGGACAGCACGCAGAGACGCAGGAACAAGTTACGTCGCAATTTAAGGATGATAGTATGGGCGTAATTTGCAAGCTGACCCTCAGCCATTTATCTGGACCATTGATTTAGTTCCAGCTGGCGGCAGCGGGGTTCGCAGGGGCCCAAGTGCTGGTAAAAAGGGGCGGGGCTTCAATTGCAGGGGCGGGGCCCCCACTTGACTTCTTTTTCTGACCCTCCTCCCTGCAGAGCCCCCTGGCTGGGGAAGGGAGGGTGAGAATTGAAGTCCAAAGCAAGCGAATTATTTCCAACTGGAAGGTGTAGCAGGAAGCTGAGAAAAAGGGAGAGCGGCGGCCACAATTTGCTGCTATAGCACAAGCCATAAGGGGGGAGAGGGGACCTGAGACTCCATCCCCCGCCCCGCCAAAGCTCCATCTCTGATCAGGGTTCTTGCAAATTGGTGATGTGGTTCCCTGCTATTTTGAGATGGGAAATGAGTAATTGTAGTGTCAAATGTAGGGTATCCATCCATCCATCTCTATCTATCTAAACACCTAATTGCTTTCAAAACCATCCCTCCCCCCCCCCAAAAAAACCCCACATCTCTGCACACTTTATGACCTCAGTCACCCAAAAAGCACTAAGGACAGTTCCCAGCCATCACAAGGTCGCTGCAGACCGGTGTTTCGTCTTAACACCAACAATCAATAGACCAGAGAGACGTTTTGCAGAAACAGATTTTTGTGCTCAGGTCCCTGTTTCTTTCCTGATCCCGTGAGATCCTGTGCGGCTTGTCACGGGGCACAGACCCTGGAGTAAACCCTAGTTTCCTTTAGTCATGGTTTGTTGAATAACCTGATCCGGCTGGGTTTTGAGATGCTTCGGGAGGGGGCACGTTGCTGGTTCTTTTGTTTAAAAAGTACGAATTGATCGGCTGTTTTATGTAACTAAAGGATCTGATTCCAATGGTATTCGTTTTCTTAGTTTGGTGTTTGAAGCTGGCCATGGGGCAAGGTGTGTGTGTGTGTGTGTGTGTGTGTGTGTGTGTGTGTGTGAGTGAATCATTGCTGCCATTTTGGCTTTATTTGCACTGTTGGATCTTGAGGATCAACTCCTACAAATCTGTTATTTGGAAACCGTTTTAAAGCAGATATTTGGAAACGAATCTCTGCATATAAATGAGCTGTTTTCTGAGACGAAACTTTGTCAAAATGTTGACAGCAATCTTCTTTGGCACCCTAATAGATCTCGTTCGTTGTTCCTTCTCCCGGATGCACTTAAACTAGAGAAAGGGTAACTTTCTGGCTTTTTCTCATCCTTGCCTTTTAACATTTTAATTTACAGGCTGTTTATCAATGCTTAATACGTTCGTGGAGTCCTGCCATGCAGGTGATAACCCGTTTTCATTTTTAATTACCAAATGCGCAGGGTCAGAGTTCTTGTATTAATGACACAGTCATTTTCAACCAAGATGTAAATGTCTCCGCTCTGACGCAAAGCTGCGCTGGAAGAAGAACGTGTTTGTGTAATGGAACATTTACCCCAGCTGAATTTCTGTCGTCTTAAGCACAGCAAAAGGATTGACCCAGAAACCACGCTGCAGTTTGCAACCTGCTTGTACAAGCATTTTTCTCTCTCGATTTCCATATCAAAAACACAACATTTTAATAACGTCAGGGCATAAATCTGACAGGTGGTGACTCGCTGACCTGAAATTGCATCAAGTTGGGGAAACACACACACGAGTTTATCACAAGGGAGAGCCAAGTTGTGTTTGACTGAGCTTGCTCTGGGGCGCCTCTTTATGGTGGACGTTGCAGCAAAGAGGATTTGGGGTGGTTAATTACAATAGATTTACACCCAGGTAAAAATGAGCTTTCTGAGAGATGGGCCCGGCCACAGAAAAACGGGGGCAATCTGATGGGTCATAGCTGGGTGTCCTTATGTGGGTTTTAGTTGTTAATTGTCCCACTTCGGGGTGGTTAAGTTACTGACTGAGTTGGGATGTTGCACAAAGCTGTCTGGTCATTTGTTCGGCTTTGGCCGAGCCCGCAAACGCCGTTGCGGTTTACAAAAATCGGTTTTTGGATGGCAGGTCGCACTTGTCCTTTTTCAATGCTGTGCTGGGGGAGCCGCATTCCAAAACGTAGGTGGGGTCCAGCCAAAAAGCCAAATTTGATTTACTTTAATTTACATTGAACTGTAACTAAAATGAACTTCAATTAAATGCGGTTAATGTCATTGCTGCCCACGGTCTTAATAATTTCCTTCTTTTGTGCTAAAAGTGATAAATGGGGAGTAACCTTTGGAGGGGATCCGGCTGCTGTCCCCAAGGCTTGGGGGGTGGGGGGAGCACAGGCAGCCTTGGGATGCCTGGTTTATGCTAAGTACATTGTGTGAATCCAGCCACTTGCAGTTTATTCAGCAAACCATGGTTAAAAGAAACTAGTTGTAGGATGACGTGTAGAGCAGGCAATGATCTCTGCTTGGCCTACCTCAAAGGGTGGTTGTGATCAGATTCAAGGAGGAGAGCCACATATATCAGTTTGAGCTTATTATGGAAAAGGCCAGTTCAAAGCATAATGAGAACAGAGTTGCCAACTTGGGGTGGGGAGAAGAAATAAATAATTATTTGTTTAAAGGTGGGTGCAGTTAGCAGAAAGGAAAGGAAAGGCCCGTTTGGTAGCCAGATCCTTCAACCTGTCTATTTTCAGCAACATTGGTGAATATTATTATTATTAATAAGAATAATAATAAAAAAATATATATGCCACTCAACTCCCAGCAACTGCTAAATTGGCCTCAGCCAGGTCCACTGTGCAGAAACTATCGGACAATATTTATGCAATTCCATTTACTGTATTGTCAGAACAAGATTCCTTTGAATAAATGGAAAGATCTCAATCATTTTGAAATAGACTTTTTTAAAAAAAGAACAGACCAGATCTTTAGACAACCATCTTTCTAGGCTCTTGATGAACTGTGGCAGTGTGGGAAGATTTTCTGCTTGGCGGTGAGAGAAACCCGGTAGTAAATTGTACGCAGTGTCAAGTCACTTCCAAAATAAACCCCTTCTCTGGAAAACACGCTTTGCATTTATACTGCCGTTTAAATACCTGGAGGAGGGGTTGGAAAGAGACATGACCAAAATCCTCATGGGGGGGAAAAAAAATATGTCTCTTGGTGGGAAGTATTGACATTAAAAAAAAAAACCAATTTTCCTGGCATTTTTAAAAATTTTAGATGTATAATGCAAAAATACTCTTGGTGGTTGTTCACCCCGTCCTTGGTCAGCATTCACAAAAGGTTAAATGGTGTCACGGCTCCCACCATTTCATCATGCAGGAAGAGAAACAAGATGCAAAGCTGACGTAATCCATCTGGCTTGGAGACACTCTCTCTCTGAACTGTATTCAGCAGCTCATTATATAAAAATGACTTTTTAAATTTAAGAAAGGGTGAGTGAGCTCCCCCTCCCCTTTTTCCTTCTAATCCCCTTTTCCTTTGACATCGTGCCTCATGGGTAGTAAGTCTTCAGACGGAAGTTTTGTCCTCACCCCATCCCGTGTGCTAGAGCAGTGTTTCTCAAACTTGGGAGCTTTAAATTATGTGGACTTCAACTCCCAGAATTCCCCAGCCAGGAATTCTGGGAGTTGAAGCCCACACATCTTAAAGGTCCTAAGTATGAGAAACACTGCGCTAAAGCAAATAGAAATACACAGGTCCAGTGGCTGATGGTGGTGAAAGCGAAGGGGAGGAGGTTTAACAATTAGCAGTCTGGTGAATCTTCACTTTCCTTGTGGAATCTTCAACCTGGGACTTCTGTTCCCGTCACATGAGAAGCTTTGTGCTTGTTGGTAAGTTTGTGTTTTAAGCTTGTCTGTTATTATAAGTACCCTTCGCTGCATGAGGTTAGGTAGCTCATCCATAGAAATCCAGATGTTGCTGAACTAACAAGCATGGCCAATTGTGACAGATGCTGTGATGTGGGGTTCCAAAACAGCTGGAGGGCCACAGGCTACCTGTCTGGCAAAAACAAAGTTCCGTGGACGTCAGTCTGAAATTCAGCTCCAAGGTGCCAGAGAGGAAATACAAAGGGACAGGCAATGTCTGGGCAAATATGTTTTTCGGCTGTCATCCTGGGCACACTTTTACCAGGGAGTAACGCCATTGAGTATATTTTTCTGAATATTTTATTTAGTACTCTTAGTGTTACTTATAGCTAGATATTAGATGCAGTATGACTACAGAACACCAACCCTGCCTAAGATAGCTCAGAAACTCAGTTTTTGTCTTGGTTTATTTTTCTTCTTGATGTTCAAATTGAGAACACTTTTCTTTTTTAAAAAAGGGAAAAATATGAAAGATTAGAACCAGTGAAAAATGAGTCAGTTCATGTCCAAAAGCATTGAACTCCTCCACTGTTTCCAGGATCATGGGTTATGCTAATTTTAAATGTGTTCAGATTCTGAGCTGCCTATCAGCCAAATGAACTGTGCATCAGGCTCTCGAAAAAAGCAGTCTTGCTTGAAGCTTGCTGCATTCAGAAGGTTAATTAAAACAACTGGCTGGGTGAGGAAGAAAAATCTCATTAGCTGAATAGGGGTAGATTAAAACCAGTGACAAGTTTTTAAAAAGCAATTTGCTGTAAGCAGAACCTGCAGATGAGGCTGTGGGCATGATCTAGATCAGTGTTTCTCAGCCTTGGGAACTTGAAGAAGGATGGAGGTTGAGACATGGCAACTGGACTTCTTTCCTTTTGGTTATCCAAGCAGCTTCTTCAGTCAAGAAAAGAAGTCCAGTTGCCATGACTCAACCTCCAGATAATTCCACCTGGATGACTCAGAATCTTCATCAACATTTAAGAGGGATGGACTTCTTAAAGTTGCCAAGGTTGAGAAACACTGGTCTAGACCGTACCATCTACATATTACTGGTCTGTAACCGTAACAAAGATTGGATTGATTGATTGAGTTGAAGTCTACACATCTTCAAATTGCTGAGGTTGAGAAACCCTGGGATAGACAAAGGATATCTCGGCCTCCCCCAATCTGGTAGTCTTTAAATGCATCAGGACTATATCTTCCAAAACTCCCAGCTGGCTGGTCCACCTCTCAAGACTTCCAAACTGGAAAAAGAGGCACTGGAAGAGCCCTGCATGCAATGCCCTGCTTCAACCTGCTCGTCTGCTGTAGCCATTTTCCTCCCTCCTTTTTTTCCTCCCACCCCTCTTCCAGCTCTCCCCTTCCTTTGCAAAGCAGCGCGACGTCCCGCGCCCAACGTCACCCGGAACGCTGGAACCAGGAACCTTGCGCTCAGCCCGGGCGGGTTTTAGGGCAGGACCTGCGCGCATGCGCAGAAGCGGCTTTCGCTGGGCGTGAAAGCCGCCCCCGGGCGTTGGGGGCTCTTCTCGGGTTTTTCCTCCTCCACCCGAGTAGCCTCGGATCCGGGGAGGGAGAAGGGCGGGATGTGCTCAGCGGGGACGGGAAGCTTGCTGCGGCAGGCCAGGTAGGAGAAAGCGGAGGGAGAGGAGGAGGAGGAGGAAGGGGGCATAAGCCAGCTTCTGTCTGCTTGCTGGCTTATGAGGGCTCCCTTGATTCATCCTGGCTTGTCCTGATCTTCCTGGCTGCCTGAGCTCCGCCGGACCGCCCGCCCGGGGGCCCCATCAGCTCCCCCCTGCCTTCGCCCAAGGGGCTCAGCCTCGCGGCTCAGCGCCCCCACTTTCTGGCTTGGCCCCCCCCCCCAAGCAGGAACCGAGTTTGCCCGGCTGGCTAAGCCAGGCAGTAGCCAGCCACGGGGGTGGCGCCCCCCCCAGCTTGTGCAGGGGCGGCGGGACG